AAGCGAGCAAAATCTTTGAAAAGTCTGATTTTAAGTGATATAGTTCATTTTAAACGTGTGGTTATTATTTTATAAACTTGGTTGAGATATCCACCATATCCCCAGTTTTTAAAAACACTTTTGCCATAAGGGACGAGTTAGTGCATCGCAGAAGGCAATATTCTTCTACAAAAGCAGATCTTCCTCTATCTTGTTTCTCCATGCTGCATGCTGTCCTCCCAATCGACGTTTGCCAGAGGGTGAGGGGTTAATCATATATGCTCAGCCCGTTTAACGGGAGCAACCCCCTCTTTTCATCTCCACATCTACCAAGATTACTTGTACCCGAAAAAGAGCAAAGTCATTCCTTACCTGGTTCTGCCATTTAACCCTCATTATGGGTCGACAGCGGTTCAACAGCAGTTCTTGCTGCTCCTGTAGAACAACTTTCTCCGTGCTATGCTGACATGACGAACGGTACAGGTGAAAGTAGAATTCTCCTCTCTCAGTCAAAATTTTATACAGGCTTCCAAAACCTCTCGAGGTTAGGTTGATCTTTCTATTTAATTCTTACTGCATAGTATTACCGATGACGATGATAGAGCTTAGATACTTGAATTTCTCAATCTCTTGAAGCATTTCACCTCCCTATTCCACTTATACATCAACAGTACCGGACATGTTCCTCACAACTGTAGACTTCCGCTAGTTAAGGAAGATGCCCGCTTTTGCTGCGTGTTGCATTAAATCGTCAGGAGACAGAACCGGCTCTTCGTACTACTCATCATAACGATATAATCTATACCTTCTCTTTAAAATGGAACCTTCCTCTTTGCCGAGGTAAGCACTGTTTGCGAGAAGAAAGTTGTGCAATAGCAAAGGCGACAGAACATCTTGACGAATAAATCATTTTTAAGTGGCAGAATGGATGTTCCTGTTTAGAAAAGCAACACAGTTTCAAATTCTTTGTTTTCTACCTTTAAAGATAAAAATTATGCCCAGATTTTAAATCATTAATTAATATCCATATTAGCTCATTAATTTTGTTTTCTGCTAGACTGTAAATATACAATCATTTTGTACTCGATTTTATCTGATTTAGCTGTGAATAATCATTCTAATTCATAAATTAATAAAAATATTTTTAAGAACGTGTCTGACAGTTTCAGAATAAATTGCAAATATTAATTTTAGATCATGAAATTTACCGCACGTTTTGTGACGCCATCTTCTACATAGGCAAAGGCAAGAAAACACGTTCTTTCGAACACTTCAAACGATCCGCTCATTTAATGAAATCCAAAGTTAAGCCAGTAATTAATCATATTCACGTGTAGTGTAAAGGACTTTTAATGCATTTATTTATAGACGGAAGCCAAACATAAAAAAATACTCGAATTGTGGAGGAAAGACATCGGCGTGATAGCTCTTGACGTATTCCACAACATAATCGCTGTCGAGGCGTATACTCGCGAAGCTGCAATGATCGACGCAATCGGTAAGTGAACTTTGCAACCTGCAAAACGCTAGACTTCCACTGGAAAGACGTGGCATTAGATCCTGTGAGATCATTCTCCAGAGGTTGATAAATGATTATCATGTTCTAGAAAGGAAGAAGAAAACTACATGTTCTTTTGCTACATAGTTGTATATGTGACTTTCAGCAAGTAAAGTTATTTTGAGTGATGGTATCAAAACGAAGAAAAGCCTTAATAATAAAGACCGTGTGAAAGGTGACTCTACAACGAAAATATCGAAGTATAAACATCCCAGCGGTTAAAAACTCTCTCTTTCATAGTGTCGAAAGGCAGTCAGTATTACTTTTCATTGCAGTCTGACTTAATTTGTGTACTTCACGGTGTAAAATCTAATAAAGAAAATTTAGGACTAAGGAATCTGGAAAATATGATCAGAGGAGATTATTACGGACTACCGACGACCTGGTCACAGGCGAGATGTCGAAGACTTGGAGCTTACTTGTTGAAGATGGCATCAGCAGTATTTCTGGCCGAAGGCGAAAAGATCGTTAAATTCAAAGACGTTTCATGGATCTGACAATATGAGTTTATTTTCAGGTTTTTAGTGCCAAACATGCCAATATAGTGCATGCATTGAAGCGCGTTTTATAAACCGTAACTTTTTGCTGCTCATTCTAAGTTGTATTTTTGAACTTTCTGATTATATTGTCATATTATGAACATGTATGAAATGCTGATTTTATTACCGAAGATGCCAGATTGATAATGTTAATGATTCTAATGACTGAACAGGACAGTCACTCCTTTTCAGAAACTGACAACGTGCTAGCTCTAAGAATAAAAAATTTTCCTTCTATTTTCACAAGTGTCACACGTTCTACCAGTGAGCGTGACAGCAGGGTACCATTTTGGATATTTACAATCGTGAACATATTGCGCATCGAAACTTGCACTGATGACTCAGCAAAAGACCAGACCAGAACCAGGTGGTTCTGTGATTGTCAATAATGTCAACGACAGAAGATACCCTTTTGAATTCGAGGAGGATCGCATTTTGCATAGGTTCATCTCAACTGATGTTGAAAAGTCGCTTTATTCTCCTCACGGAGAAGAGTTGAAATGCCTTGACTGTCTGGTTTAAAAGTCTACTATCCTCCCTGTACCGATAGAATATTATGGAAGTCTGTAAAAAATAATTAATTAACAGAGAACCAAACAAATAAAAATAACAATAGATACTGCACATATAATATAAATTCATACATGACTATTCATCTGAGAAATCCAGAAAAATGAAGATCACATGACACTTTCATAATCGTAAAGCTCAATAAATAAAATGTGCGCAATATTTGCACAGATTTTTAAAGGAAGCAAAATCAAAGAAAACCTAACTGCAAATGCGAATCGCCAGTAAAGACGGAATGATAAAGACGAATCGCCTTAGAATTCAACCGCAAAGGAAATCACAAACCAGCAAGTTTCCGAAACCAATGAAGAGTGAGGCGTTTAAAACAGTTCAAAACAAAATCTCGATTCAATTTTTCACTGAATTCGGTTCCGGTTCCCATCCTTCTTCGTCCCCCGCAAGTAGATAATGCCTCTTTCTAAGCTCTGACAGTTTCTTCCTCTCCTTTTCAATTTGACTCTCTAGTTCCAGCACTTTAATCTAAAATGCTAAGCATTTTATTTCAGCGAATGATACAATAAAACATTGTTGAACTGGTAAAATTGGCGAAAAGAGCAGACAAAGTAGGCAAAGAGGTATTTTTTGCCAACAAATAGAAGACTTAGAATAATAAAATGTCATTAGCATTAGCTTTCACGTTACTAAATTCTTATCGAGCAAGAGAATGATTCGATTCGAAACAAAATGATGATTTACAACTTCTGATCTTTCGATTTTAAACTGAAATTTTCAAGCTCCCTTTTAATTTATCGGCTGTTGGTTTTGCAGATTTAATCAGCCATGATGATGGTCATAGTATTTTATTCCGTAAAACGTACCCATAAGATAATTATCTAGAGGATAGAAGATAAGAAAGTTATTTTGGTGGTCAAGCCACAATTTAATTCACTGGTTTGGTGACCTCCACAAGTAACTCTGAATAACTTTCATAGTAAAATTCAGCCACCTGCCACTCATGGTATTGACGCCTTCGAATATTATACCGGCTCGGTCGTCGCCC